GGTGACGAGGAACGTGCGTCCCACGGAGCTGGCGCGCCTCTGCCCCCGCTCTGCCGCCGCGCAGGAGCTGGCTGCGCAGCGTCTCCTTGAGCTCAGCATCGGTGGCCGAAAACAGGAATTGTAGAGGCAAACAGCGACCTGTGCAATGCCAGAGGTTAAGGTCAAAAAACTTTAATTTAGGCGGTGGAGTTCGATTAGGAAATGACTTTTAAGCGATATTTCCATGCTAACGAAAGCCGTAGGATGGGTAGGTGCGCTAGTAATGGGCAGTTGTACTAGCACAAGCTGTTTTTGCTAGCCAAGAAGGGCCGGGGCTGGTCCGGGCTCCCCAGCTGACTTCGCGGAGGCCTGCGCTGATGCTGTCTTTGCAAGCGGCCTTGAACCCGCAGACGGAAACCTGGCCAGATCTGCAGCTTCTCGTCAAAATACGTGTAAATTACAGCTCTCATCTTCCAAAAATATCCCCGCTGACAAAAAAAAAAAAAAAAAAAAGAGGGGGGGTTGTGATAAAAACTGCTAAAAAAAAAAAAGCAGGGGGGTTGTGATTAAAACTGCTAAGAACTAAATAAAGTTTAGGCTGTGGCCCCTGCTCAGAAAGTAAGGTTTCTTGACCGAAAGCAGGAAAAAGCAAGCAGCCGGACTGCAGCGCAGATCCAGCCTGCCCAGACACGGTTTTTAAAATTTACTTGGGTAGTTTTCCAGAACTGTTTGTAAAGCTTACTTCAGTGCTTTTATCTGTTTATATATTTCTGTTACGGTGGAACAGGTTTTTTTTGTGGTTTTGACTAAAAAAAAAAAAACAACCTGCTAAACAAAGACCATGCGAACCTCAAAGGCGATGAAGCAGAAGCCTCTGCCCGGACGCACCTTCTCGTCGGGAAGGGTAAGTGCCTCGCTTTTCTGTTTGCCTTTTCAGCGCTTCATTCCTCAAATTCAAACTCCACCCATGGTACCAGTTACCCGCCAAAGCGTCTGCGGGTCTCGTGGCTCGTGTATAAAAACAGGCGAGGTCGGGGCAGCCGTCGGGCGGTGCGTGCTGCGTTGCCAGCTGCTTCCTTGTAACTGAAGCAGGGGACGCTGAAAAGGCGTCGAAAGCAGCTATGTCGGGTAGGAGCTTCCAGGGCCTGAAGCAACAGGCAGAGGGTGCAGCAAAAGATGCTGGTAAGAAAGATTAAATATCGTTGTATATTTGGGGGGTGCGGAGGGGTTCGTCGCTGCTTTTGCTTACGCAGCCCGAGATCTGAAGTTGCACTCACGTTGGCTGGGCTGCTTTATCTTCCGTTGGCAACGGCCGCAGTTTGAGGCTGGAAAATAAAAATCCTGGCAAAGGATGTCTGCGAGCGTCTTGCCGCGGATCCTGGCTCAGCGCCGGCAGCCGCCTCCGCTGGGCAGAGCTGGCTCCGTGCTCGCGGGACGGAGCTCAGCCCCGACAGCTCCCCAAACAGCGGTCCTTCAAACGTAGTATTTTTAAAGGACTGGGGCCTTTTCTGGACGGTAGCAACCTTCTCCATTTGGCAGTCCGTATATTTGACTTTTTGTTTTTTAAGATTCTCATGGTCTTTTTCATGCTCTGCAATATTTTTTTAGACTAGTCTCCTTGTAAGAAGTTGGATTGGACTTTTGATTAACGTGTTTACTACTTGACCTGAATAGCAGTGCCTTCCTGCAATAACTGTATTGATTAAAATGGCCTGTTCACGATAAGTAATACACGCATATTTCTATTGTGTTCTTCCCTATCACTGATCACCAGATTTTGCAGGGCTTAAACAACCTGAGTATACAGGAAACTAATTTTTCAATGCAAGGTATAATAGCTTTTCCTTTAGATGAAAAATTTTAAGATATGTGTAGTTTATTCTAGCATTTTATAACATATTCCCTACAATGCTCGTGTGCAGATCGTTCCTATCAGGCTATAACTTGCCTTGGGTGCGGTCCTAGATTTCTAATCCTTTCCAAACACTTCGTTGTATAGCTGAAGGATGTGAGTAACCTCACTGATTTCTTTGGAGCTGCTGCAAGTTTCTATGCATCTAGGAGGAAATATGCAGTAGACCCAGAACCATGACAGTAATCCTTTCTGAAATACCAAATAGCCCTTGCTACGTCCTGAGTACGTTCACGCCACTGAGGGTCACTTCAGAGCTAGTCCTCTAGCAAGAAGTGAGAGAATGACTGTCGCTCTTTCATAAACTACGAAACATCTCACGTTTTGAATAGCATCTCACTCTTTTTAATAATTGATATTCTAGAGTTGATCCATTATGGTTTTAGCCTCTCTTTCTCTGAACATCTATTTAGATTTTCTTTGTAAATTCTGCCTTTTCCTGTCCTGCTCTGTTTGACGCATGGTCTTCCGTTTTGCAAAAGGCACTGCTTCCAAACGGCCTGCAAAGAAGATGCATGCTAGATGGCTAAACATCTCCAAACAGAATAAGCTATATAAATCAATAAAAGTAAGTGTAGTATGAAACAAGCAATCTGCAGCTATACATCATTATTAAAACTGGCTGCTAATTTTTGCTTCTCTATCTCCTTCCCCCCCCCTTTTTTTTTTTTTGTCTTTTTCCCTGCCATTGGCATGCCCAGCTGACTGTAGGGGCTATGCAAATGGTAATAATGTCATAGCAAGCTGCTCTGGCAATACACGTGCTTCATCGGGTGCCCACGAGCAAAGCGCACAGCCTCGGCCCAGTCTGTAACGGCCTCCTGACTTGCCAGGGCCGTGCCCTTGCACAAGCGTGCAGAAAAGCCTGTTGACGTAAGGAATTCGTTTGAGTATCCAGCACTGAACAGAATCGGGGGAAGGAGAGGATAAAGGTGAACTGATGAAAATGGATTTTTTGTCTTTAATTACAGCAAATACGCTGGGACAGGCTACTCAGGACGCCATCAACCAGGTTGCAGACGCAAGCCAGAAAGGTATGAGAAATCATGTTCAAATCAACAGGAGATGGAGCAATTTAATGGAAACAAGTAACAGTCAGTTCTCGTTTCCCCTTTCTCCCTTGCGTGCTCTCAGGCTGAATGACCGCTGGTTGTAGTGACAATTTTTGGCCTTTCACAAAACTCATGGGAGAGGATTTCAGGATCTGCGCTTTCGTTGCTCCCTGCCTTTGCCGGCAGAGGCACTGCACTAGCGGACGCCGCACCGCGTCGCGTGCTTTACGCTCAGCGTCGTGCTCGGATTTCGGCTTCCTCTGTGGAAGAGCTCTTGGAACGGTGCAGACAAAACTTTGCTCTTCTTTCTTGAAGATTAAGCGAACGTGTGCTACCTCTTGATTTCTCCAGCGCTGAGGGCAGGAGTCCACTAGCTTTAACCCCGCGTCCGCCCTAGGCGCCTGCTGAGGCAGCAGCTGAGGTCAATCATTAATGATGCCGGAAGCCCCTACAGGCGTTGTGAAGAAAGTTTTGGCGTTTCATTTCTGATGATTGGGAACTGGCAAGTTAAATTAAAAACCCAGCTCAGTTCTCACCCAGTTTTAATCATTTGCTAAGAATGAGCAGAGAATTAACAGCTCTGGGGTCTAAAATGTTTAATGAAAGCCAGAACGTAAGGGCAGCATCTCCACGAGGGAGATGCCTCTCCAAGTTTATGGATGTGACAAGCAGGAAAGGCCTTCGCGCTCATTAACACTAGATGAGGAAGGATTTGGCAGCAAAACTGCCAAAATATAGCAGAGATCCCAGGGAAGAGAAATCATGGAAGAAAGGAGGGAGAGGGTGTGCGGGTTTGTGCCTGCCGCCTCTCCCCGGAGGTCCCCCGGCCCCGGGCCGCCCCCACAAGCGCGGGGAAGCCCAGCTGCCCCGGCCTCGCCGCTCCTGGGAGCCTCGCTGCCAGCTCGGCCTGGCGGTGCTGCAAACGTGCAGGCACAGGAGGAGGGCACAGAGGAGAACGCGTCTCTTCGCCTGCCTTCGCGCGCCGAGTCGGTCCAGCCGTCCCAGGCCTCACGGCGCCTCATAGCCCGAAGCTCCTTCCTCCACCAGCCAGCCTGCCCTTACCCCCGTACCGATCTCTTCCAGCGCCAGTGTCTTCATCAGCTTTGTCCTGGTATTTATCAAATAACGCCTCAGCTCAGGACCCAGTATTTCCACGTAACCACTCCTATTCAACAGTGCCCTGCAGCCCGGGCTAAATATATGCTGTCAAACCCCAGCAATAACCCCTTGCAGAGAACCGCCTTTTAAGCTGTATCCCGATATTCTTATAGAGATAGTCTAAGCATTTTCACACCTCCCCTTTCCATCATAAGTATTAAACCATGTTGCATTTTTTCAAGTTTTTTGCTTGTCTGTTAACTGTTTCCCTCTCTTTCAGCTGTTGATCAGGCTTGCAAGACAGCTCAAGACGCTGTAGAAAAAGCAACTGGACAAGCTGCAGAAGCAGTGTCTGGCTTGGGGAAAAAATGTGGATTTAAGAAATAATGCTAACTTAAGCAAGCAGTATTGCATGTAAAATACACCTTTGTTCTGCAATTCCCTGTGCCTTAGTGTAGAAAAATGAAAGCTATTTGAGATATGGATAACTTTCTCTCTCTCTCCAAATACAACATTTTAAGGCAGAATGCCCTCCTTACCCTTCATGTAGGAAAACTACATATTTTAGCACATCTTGTATCATCTGTTCCTAATGTTCTGTTCAAAATGGATCATAAGTCTTCAGCAGCGTTATTGCCCTGCTCTTTCAACAGCGCGATAAGTATTGCCACATTCCTTGAGCGTACTTACAGACTTACTGACACTAGTAATATTCCAGCACACCAGAGCATTCATATTACGAAACCAAGCCTTCTGCCTGTAATCAATAGTTGTTCATGTCAATTGTTCATTTATTTCATTATGTTGTACTTTTTTGTTAAATAAAAAATAGAGTAGTATTTCCCCTCCCTCCCCCATTGGCTCTATATCACCTTGTCATGCAGCCTTGTTAACATATTGGGCCTTCAGTAAAGGGTCTCATAATGCCTCACAAGTCTCTTTGAAGTGCTTTTTGATTCAAAGTCCGACGAGGTCAGTAACTGTCGGGTCAGGTAGGTGAACGCCGTGTCCATTTTACAGCTGAACAGACCTACGGAAACGGGCAGCCCCGCGCCCCCGAGGAACGCCGTGGCCTCTGGAAGTGAGTGAGACTTTGGTGTCCACCCCCTCGTCCTTTCTGCCACATCTGTCGCCAATCTAGACTTCTCGTTACTATAAGGCACAAGAAATCTTCTGCTAAAGCCCACGGGAGCAAAACGAGACCCTCAATGCACACCTGCAGTAGCAGCACTAAACATAGACTAGCGATTAGTACCAGTGATATAATAAGAGAAAGCTCTATATAGCACTTCTCTAATTTCTTTAATCATGCAGGAGCTGAAGTATCTGAGCGTTGCTTAAAGGCAACCCGGGACACACTCTACAGCAGTTATCCGCTGGCGAGGGCGCTGGTGCTTAGGGGCAGGGTCTGTGCTAGAGAGGAAAGTGGGCAACCTTCTTGCCGAGGAGCTGGAAATATTTGTTTTAGATTGCCGCTTGCTGGGCCAGCGGGGACTGGCTGCAGTCAGCCAGGATGCCCGGAGAGTGTTTCCTTTGTCAACAAAAGGCGCTAATACCCACTCATCCACAGCAAGTGCTCCTAGCCTCGCCCTTGGATGGTCCTCATTGCCAGGCAATATTGCCTTTTTTTTTT